TAAACCCAGGACCTTCTTGCTGTGAGGCAACAGTGCTAACCACTGAGCCATCGTGCTGCCCTTCAAATGCTGCCGCTCTGCTTTATTTTTCCTCTTACCTTCTCATTCCTCTCATTTGAATCTCAATTTTCGACGTCTCTTTGTTGTGCAAAATGGACATATGCTAATCCTCCTTTTCCCTTCTATATTGTGCGCTTCCTCATCTGCCTCTTGTTCTTTCTTTTTGTCTCCTTTTTTATAACATATCACAAAAAATGAAGGTACCAAACAACTGGACATCTGTTCTATATTTGAAGACATTTTGCTTCTCATCTAAGTAGTTAAGTAGAGATTAGAAGTGCAGTTGTTGTTGTTTTTTAATCTACCATGTCCTGGATGACTAAAAATCTACACCATCACTGTCACATGTGCTTAAATAATGTTGTGGGTGAAGCTCAGTCTTTCATTAAATCAGCTGAAATGAGGAGGAAAGAAATGAGTCATAACAGCACATTAGAAGGCTGAATGCAAATATTATAAACAGGCTTATGATGTGCAGTGACATAAGTATTTAATAGGATTTCAGGAGTCCTTTAGCTGCTGCTTGTCCTGTGTGAGTGCCTGTGTGTGGTTAGCCTTACCTATCAGCTGGAATTTAATGGGTTTGAAACCTTTTAGGAATAAAAAGCTGTTCCAAAGGGTGCCTTCAGACTTCAGTAGGTAGTCCTCTCTAAATTAACCTCTAGGTGGACAGCTTTGGTTATTTGAATGAAGGAGCTTTTGAAGAAATGCGGTGTGATGGAGCTGAGGCTCGGGGGTTTAAATGTTGTTACGCACATGTAGCGCTGCATGGATCACCCAGAACAAACCAACAGATCGGTGGCTGTGAGCATCCACATACTGTCACTGATGAACATCTCAAGATCCCAAACTCCTCCACTGTACACGACAACCTGCCAGCCTTTGCTGGGGACACGCTGCGTAACTTTCAGAGTTTTTACAGGTTTTTGAAAAGAACTGGAGTACACGCTCCAAATCTGCTGAACATTCACATTTGTCAAACCAGCTAAAGCAACTGAACATATCGAACTCTTGTGCCAACTCTCACAGTGGAGACAGGGTAAACAAGTGATACGCCCATGTCCCCCATCGCTGAGAGGTTTGAATAGTGAATGTTTGTAGACTTTTGTGATGAGAAGTTTTCTGGACTGGAATTGAATGTGGAATGCAAATGAACCTTAACGTTGTTGGTGCAAGATATTCAAGTGGGTAGACATTACACCGTGTGTAAGAAGAAATGTAGATTGTTTTTCTTGTTCTAGTTGGCGCAGGTTGACCAGACGTAATGGTGTCCTGGGTCACCATAGATTAATCTTCAGCCACTGCACCGGCCTCACCAATCACCAATCATTTGAGGAAACTATACTTATATAAATATAAAAGCAATATAAAACTAGAAAGCATAGTTTCCTCAAATTATAGGGGTGGCTGGCATACGTGGTGGTGGCCATCTTGAATTTTGAAGTTGCAACCTAATTTTCAAGAGGAACCTTTCTTACGCTTAAATACAGCCACACATCAGAAGGGAAGTTGGCCCGTTACCTACTTTTCAAGTTATCCAGCTCAGAAAGTTTACATATATATGGTAGCGGCCATCTTGTATTTTGACATGGCAACCCAGATTTCAAAATGAAACTTTCTTTCACCTAAATGCTGCCACACAGCAAAATGGAAGTCAATACCTCACTTAATTTTCAACTTATTGTGCTCACAACATGCATGGACCGACAGAAGGCATTTCCAATTCCTACTCGTCGCTCCACAACGGGGACAGTCGGCTCACGGCTGCTGTTTTCTGTGCCCCTGTGTCCCACTCTAATTTATTTTATTTTTTCTGTTCGACTCCGAGACTGAGGTCGGGTCGGGTGTGTGTTCCCTTCACACACACAGATTTTTGTTCCATTTATCTGACTGGTCCTAATAATGCAGACTTTGCCCAAATGGGAATCATGAGGAACATCTGGCACTAAATGGTGTAGTGTGTCCCCAGCTGTCCATAAAGTTATATAATGTTGGACTCAGGGCCTTGGAGTTAGAGAAGAGTGAAAACAAATGGAAATAAAACCTGACTGATACTGATGAAGACTTTTAGAGAATAGAAGATGTAGTTTTATTAGCTCGACCAGTGGTGTCTGATCCTGGTCCTCGAGGGCCACAATCCTCCATTTTTTAAATGTTTCTCTGCATCCGATTTAAATGACTGAATGATTAACAGACACGCTGAAGTCAACCATTAAATCAGGTGTGTTGAAGCAGACAAACAACAAAAACATGCAGCATGGCGGGGCTCAAAGACCAGGAGTGGACCCTCTGAGCTACACTGACAATCTCATAAAGCCTTCTTTTAATCTCACAATAATCAATATAATGTTTGTGTTTGATCATTTTTATTATTATACTTATTTACCTATTATTATTATTATTGTGAAATATGTATAACTTTGTTATTTAAACACTAAGTTTGCATAAGGAATGTAAAAATATATTGGAAAATATTTTTGTATTTACTGTTTCCATTTATTATAATTGCACTTTTATTTACCTATTATTATTTATGCTTTATAGATCAGTGTATGATCAAGTATGTTTTATTTTAGTTTTTAAATATGTTTAAAAAGTACAAGATGTGGATATTCATGGATTTTTTTTTTGTATGTATTTTCTTGTGTTTTATTCATTTTTTGTCAATTATTTTTGATAGGAAAAGAAAAGCTAAACTGGCAGCTGAGAAATTAACAAATTAAATATAAACAGTAGTAAAGTGTTTATTTTAATGACACATTTCTTACCAGTACACCTAAACCACCACAAAACAATCATGTTTGCTGTCAGTGTGGCATTAATTTGTAATATAATAAACATACAGGGCTGACATTGTGATGACATTATTATAATTATTATTAATTCATATAACACACGGAATTGAAAACATGGAATATAAGACAAAATGTCACTACCAGTAATTTTTGCTTTGAACTCAGTGTCCATCCCTTTACATTAAAGCATGTGTCGTATGCACAAAAACTTTAAATTCTAGGGACAAGATGGACTTTTTATACTATATTTTTAGAAAGAAGAAAAATCCTCTATAGTTAAGAAAAAAAGACAAAGTACTTGAGGTTCATGTCAAATACGTGTGAAAGGAGAGGATGCTTCGAAATGAATAAGAGTGAAACCTGCCAAAAACCGAGACGAGTCAGTTTAACCTCTTTCTGCTGCTCAAAAAACGAAGTGCCTGTCTGGTTCTCGTCTCTGTAACCATGACAACACTGCCAGCAAAAAAAAAAAGACAAGGTAGAGTGAAAGAAATGTTCATATACAGTAAATGGAGTTGGGTGAGAGAATGTGTAAGAAGGTGGAGAGTACAAGAAGATTTAGAAATAGGGAGGCTTTAAGGAAATGTGTTGAACGGGTCTAAAGGAGCGTCTGGAACAAGTTCTGGAAACGAGCTGTGTCTCTCATCCTTGTTGCTGTGGATTCAGATTATCTGCAGTGTGAAGGCTTATCTGTGTGTGTAGCGAGTGCAGAGGACAGCTTTACTGCCATCATAAAGGACTTTGTTTTGTCAGGTCAAGATGGAACAGGCAGATAAAACGACGTTCTCACAACATGAAGCTCCACCACGGCTGCAGACTGAGCAGACAGGCGCACTTAGTTCAGCTTCGGTGAAATTATGCCTCGAGTTTTTAGGATAAGCTCTAAATTCTTTCAGTTTTAGACGTTTGTTCAGTTCTGTGAAGTGTTACCTTCTCTGAAACATGAGTTTGCCCAACAAAGTTCAGTCTGGTCATTTGGATGGTTTCTTTTTTTGTTGTTGAGACGTTTCATCCTTCATCCAAAGGACTTCATCAGTCTGAGGAACCACAACAAACTCAATCCCACCCACATATTGGACCAACCAGTTTGCTGGTGATAAGATGGTTTCTGGCACCCGCCCTTTCCCCTGTCTACTCCTCTGAGGCAGACATAGTCAAAGTGAACAAAGTTCATGCTCAGTCATCCAGGTACCAAATTCAATAATGCTCAGTCGGGTCATCTGGACAGTTTCTTTTTTCTAGAGACGTTTCACTGATAGTCAAAGTGGTTTGAAACATCAAAGTTCATGCTCAATAATCCAGGTAGAAAATCCAACAAAGTTCAGTCAAGCAGCACACCCACATAGTGGACCAACCAGTGTGCTGGTGATAAGTTTGTTGTGGCTCCTCGGACTGATGAAGTTCTTTGGATGAAGGACGAAACGTCTCAACAAAATAAACCGTCCAGATGACCAGACTGGACTTTATTGGATTATTTCACCTGGATTATTGAGCATGAACTTTGATGTTTGGAACCACTTTGACTATGGCTGTCCCAGAGGAGTCGACGGGGGAGAGGGAGGATCCCAGAAACCATCTTATCACCAGCAAACTGGTCGGTCCACTATGTGAGTGTGCTGCTTGTGGGACTGAGTTTGTTGTGGCTCCTCGGACTGATGAAGTCCTTTGGATGAAGGACGAAACATCTCAACAAAAAAACAGAAACCATCCAGATGACCTGACTGAACTTTGTTGGATTTTTTTACCTGGATTATTGAACGCATGAACTTTGACAATGAGTTAGCATTTCTTGCAGCGACATGCAGGACTTTATTTTCAGCGTGCAGCCATGTGTAATTCATACACAACATCTGGGTTTTTAGCCTTGCAACGACCTCTAAATGGAGCACACGTGCACACTATTTTTACACTGCCGTGTCTCCGAACTCTCAGCTGCATGAGCCTGTTATTTATTCTGCGTCTTTTTCCATTCTTTGTTTCCCAGGGGTCTAAAATGTTTGCTGCGTAGCTCCAGAAGAATCTTCTTGTATGAACGGACAAATAACTTCTGTGAAGACGTTGCTTTTGTTTCTTTTCTTTTCTTTTTTTCCCCGTGTGTGTGTGTTCGTCCTTGTTTAACATTCCATGTTTGTGCTTGCGTTGCAGATTTAACTCCGGGTCCAGTCCATGCCAAGCGCTCAAGTATGTGTCCTCGTACCGTACGGCTACAATTAACAAATGAGGGAGTTCTTTTAAAACCTTCTGATTGCACCTTCAGATCTGAAGGTTTTATAATCACTCAGGAAATCATGAAGGTTGATTGACTGTCTGATCTTTGTTTTATAAACATCATATAATCAGCATTTCTGTTTTTGTAAGCGCCTAAATGATTATAGTTTCCTGTATGTTCACTAATAGCAGCATGATCGTGTTACTCCACATTTGATTTGATTTCTGACCTCCACTTTTCAAATTGAGTTAACCTAAATGGTCCGAAGGTCCGCAGCCTCTGTTTTGGTCAGAGCAGCTGACAGGAAGTGATTAAGGACACTGGAAATTAACTGTTTTGTTTCTTTCAGCAAAAGTTGATCCTTTTATAAGGAATAAAACCCAAATCCATTTCATTTTGCATTATTATTATTTTTTTAATTTCCCTTTCATGCTTTTATATTTAACATCGCAGCTTTTCCTTCGTGCTGCAAGTTGTTTTGACCCCCCACCCCCCACCCCGCTGCACGAGGGGTTGGATGTAAACAAACTAAAAATGACCTTGGATGCCCTCGGAGACGGACGGACGTGTAATAAGTTCAGCATCTGCGCTTGCTGCGCTGTCTTCTGTATGAGACGTGATTGAAATCTGAAGGAATTGTGCTGAAAAGTCATTTAAAGCCACAGATTTGTTCACACTGCGTGAATAAATTGGTTTGTTTAGAACAGTCAGCCACAGATATTTTATTGACAGCAGGGAGGCAAAATAGAGCCTGCGCTTCATGACGTCTGGCCTCAAACCACCAGAAGGTTTGAAGCTTCTAGTTGAGCAATGGAAGGAGGTTTTCTTAATGGAGGGGAAGTATTTGTGTGATTGCTGTGGGTCACAGAGAGCAGCGGTCTGTCGTCGGTAATCAGCTGAACGTTTTGTGGTTCTGTGGGCCACAACGGGGCAACCACTAAAAGTCTGCATCGAGTGATTGAACGGACTCTGAACACGATGTGATCATTACGCTGAAAGCACCTGTTTCATTCACGCATACATCTGTGTTTGGTTTACTAAAAGAAACAAATTTGGGTTAAATTGGGTTTGCTGCCGTTCTGAGAGGAGAAAAGCAGCGAGGAGGAGTGAGTCAGTCAAACTGAGAGGTCATCAAATAGCATTTTACCACAACAGCAGCAGGGGCTTCTGGGAAAACCGGAGAAACTGCAACAGAACATGTAGTTAGATACTGACTGAAAGAAAACGAGGAGAGTCGATACAAACGTGTTCTGATCTGATCAATTCTGGCTTTTTACCAGGAAGGTTTGGTCAAAACGACCTGAGTCCACACGTGCACAGTGCTGGAGTGAACGGCGTGTTTGGTGATGGTGACACCCGGCGGTGGCATGTTGACACTAGGAGTGTTTCACCAGGTCCAACACACCTATGAGAACACTTTACTGCAGGCAATAAATACTGCCCATCACCTCACAGGCTAAAGTTCGCATCAAAGATCTCACCTGAGCTTCAGCTACTACCACGCCGAGGTTTAGCTTCGTATCTGAAAAACTGACGAGAAGTCGTCGATAGTTAATCGGCTGTAGAGTTTCATTCAAATCTGTCTTCAGCAGACAAATACAAGCTGCTACATTATCACCCTTCATCCTGAGCCTGGTTCTGCTGAAGGTTTCCTGTTCAAAAGGAGTTGTTTCTTCCCACTGTCGCCTCATAGTTTGCTGAAGTGAAGTTTTGATGCAACCTGCTGGTTTCCGTTAGAATACAGCTGGAGTTGGCGTTTTGTAAATACTGATTCTGACTTGCATGATTTAGTCAATTTATAATTTGGACTTGTAATTGTGTCCTGAGATGACTTTTGTTGTGTATTGGCACCGAGTTATTGAACTAATCTGAATTCAAACTAATGAGATGTGCCGTACACGTTGAATGAAACTGCACAGTTTGGTTCCAGGTCAACTTTCTGTTGACATCAAAGCACCTCGAGGCGTATTTGACTTTTCTCTCCTTCAACCTTTAACATTGTGACAAACTTCTGTAACTAAACAGCTGGATAAGCCAAAGCTGCAAACTATGATTGGAAAAAAAAGAAACAAATTAGATGAAGGCCACATTTTTGAGAAAAACTTTTTGATAAGTCTAAAAAAAAAAATACAACAGCAAGCTCTCAAATCCTTGTTATTATTCATTCATTTATTTATTTTAATGTAACATAGGCGTATATGTCTGATGCTTGATCCACACATACATTGTTTTATCTAAACTAACTATTCACATGAACATAGTTTTCTGTAAGAAAACTTTTATTTTTGGACTATCATGTATTTACGCGTCTTTTGTTTGTCCATCTATTAGCAAAACATCTAACCACTGAGTGGATTTCAACAAAACTCTCAGAAAGTAATCAGTGGACCTTGGCAAGCTAAAAATGATCTATAACAAAGTTGTTTTGCCCACTTTTGCTTTGTGTAATGAAATGAAACCACAACTTTGTAGCAGTTTATGTTGGATTTTCGACACTTGGACCATTTTTTTTTTTGCTCTTGTCGCCTTTAAACTCCTGTTTTGTGCTGAAATGATTTAGTTTTTAAATAAAATGTTGAAGGATGCTGAGGAAACAGGGTTTTCTGATGTATTCTGGGAGAATCTCCAGCTGAGCTCTGATTTTTGTTAGTCAACATTACTGCCCCCTACTGGTGCTGCATGGTTTTGCATTTTAGTCGAAATGTTTGGACTTTTTAATGAATGATCATTTTAGTCGAACAGAAAATAAAAGTTTAAAATCAATACCCAGACTAGTGTAGGTGTGGCCTGAGATGATGTAATAAGAGGAATCCTTGCTGCAGGAGCTGTGACCTCAGCAGACCTACTCGTGAATTATTGACTTTGCGTCCATCTCGCAAGTTTTTTTTTTTTCTTGCAGGGTGCTTCGTCGGCCTGAATCTTCTGCTTTACTGTCCACATGTCTGACATTTTGTCTGCAGCACATCCAGTGTGATGAAAAGCTTTGGTTTTGTTTCTTAAATTTACAGAATGCAAGTTAAATTCAGTGTTTATACAGAGCTGAGTCTCTGTTTGCTTCATCGTCTGGTCTTAACTTTCACGTCTTTCTTGTTCGTTGAGAAAACTCTTTGTGCTGCTCTCTTCAGTCTGTGATTAGTGAGTGTTCTCATTTGGTTTTGTCTTGTAAACTGTTATTGTCTGCTGTCGTTGTGAGCGAGTCGGTTGAAGAAGACAGCTGCAGTCAAATCTCGATACAGTTTATTCATCCCTGCTCCAGATGGCGAGCTGTAATCCAGCAGGAGGTGGAAACAGATTGAGACATCAACAGTTTGACAATAGGTGCATTTTGTTTTTAGATGCTGTTAAATTGTAGAAAATGATCAACAGCGCCTTAGTCACAGTTTATGTTTGTCTTTTTAGACGTGTTGCTGTGCTACTAGTGGATCATTTTAAGTTTTCTGTTAAATATCAACAACTTTTAATAACTTAAAGATTCAAAATAACGAGGATAAAAGAGTTTTCAGGAACACATGAGTACAGTTTGTTCCTTTAAATTAAAATGGAGTCATTAAATGCTTAAATTCAATTGCTTTATCTTTTTTCGTTAAGCGACCAGTATGTTCAACAGAAGGACATGTTTTCAGTAAATTTCATTATTTGTTGTTTGGTGCACTTTCTCCTTTTAAACAGAGCATATTGTGTTCTTAAAATGGAACCCAAAAAAGTAAATTAATTTAAAAAAAAAGACTAAACCTTCAAGTATTTACAGTTTTTACAAGTAGCCTATAGGTGCATCACTAACTATGTTTGTCATGTTAAAACAGTGTAAAGAGGGATAACAATAAACATATTCAGATCACCCTCTGCCCTAAATGAAAACCCTAAACATGTAGTTAATGTTCATCTTATGTAAAGCCTTAACCATCCATCCATTATATTTTTCAATCATTTAACCTTTATTTATGCAGATAAATCACATTCAGCCTTGAAGACTCATTTTCAAGTGACACCTGTTTGAACAGACCAAAAAAAAAAAAAAACATGCTTTACCTGCTTCTTCCTTTTTGAGTCACTGGTGCCCATGTCCAGCAATCACTGTGCGAGAGGTGGAGGACACCCTGGACAGGTCTCCAGTCCATCAGAGGGACACATCGAGACAAACAAGACAAACAACCATTCACTCTCTCACTCACACCTAGGGACAATTTAGAGTCACCAATCAGCCTAACATGCATGTTTTTGGTCTGTGGGAGGAAACTGGAGTACCCGGAGAAAACCCACACATGCACAGAGAGAACATGCAAACTCCACCCAGAAAGGACACCGACCGGAATTTGAGCCGGCGACCTGCTCAGTGAGAGGCAGCAGCTCCACTGAGCCACCTTAACAATTGTCAAAATGCGTGATTTTGATTTGATTTTTTTTTTTTTTTGTCTTTGTATAGTCAATTTTATTTTCATTCTCACCACATGTGGTACATGAGGTGGAATGAAATTGTGTACACATGGGTCCCAGTTACACTCAACAATAGCAAAAATATGAAGTGTAAGAAGAAACAGTCTATAAGGATCTAAGATACACGCCAAACGGCACACCAAAACAGCTAAGATCTGCAGTAATCACTAATTATGTAAAACAATACGGCGTATCAACAGCAGCCCGAACATGAGTCTGTGGTGAGCAGATGGTTACGAATGAATACATTCAAATGTAATGTATTCATTCAAATACATTACATTTTTTTGTCTATTGTTGTCATCACTCTGTTAAAATTCAGGTCTCTTTTGTAAATGCGTCCCCAAGGCTCAGTGGGTTTAACCTGTATAAATAAAGGTTGAATGAGTGAATATAAATGTATTGAATGAATACATACATTATGTGTACCATTTATAACAAAAAACACACAAAAAAATCATCATTCATCACCAAAAGTCTACCACTTTTTTTTGTTGTTGTTTTAAATCAGCAGTCATGTTTTGTTGCCAACAGTTCC